CTCTGTTCCTAGAGAACCTCTATACCGGTAAGTACTACCAAATAGGGAAGTATCTCATAGGGGAGATTGAGGTCGATGATAAGCTCAGGAAGGAAGTTCAACAGTACTGTCTCAAGGCAGACCACCTCTTTAAGAGGCCGCCTAAAAGTGGTATGCCGATGAGAGTAGTCTGCGATGACGGCGAGCAGAAAGAAATAATAGCGGAACTTCACAATGGGATCGTTGGAGGACATAGAGGGGTGAATGGTACGTTTGAGAAGATCAAGAATCCTTACTGGTGGGATGACTTATATAGGGATGTCAAGTCCTAATGCCAGACATGCGTAGAATGTCAGAAAATAGTCGTCGTTAAGTACAAGGAACTGTTGTTTCCTTTCTATCCGACCGCGATAGGGAAGAAAGTTCACGAGGACTTAGTCAAGATGCCCAAAGGTGAAGGAGGAATGAACTACATCTTGGATATCAGGGACGACCTTTCTGGGTTTGTGGAAGCGTGGGCCCCTGCATCAGAAAACAGGAAGAGCAGTTACTGAGCGTCTGTCATAATATATCACTCCGTATTAAGGAAGTCCAGAACTTTCTCCAGAGGGCTCATGGCAGGAATCCGAGTGTCATTAACCTCGGCATACCACTCTCAGACTAACGCCCCTGTTGAAAGAGGGCACCAAACTCTAGTGAACGCACTCGCCAAATGGTGCAGGGGGAATGAGAAGAAGTGGGCAAAGTTCCTGAGATTTGCAGTTTTGGCAGATAACGTTACTGTTCGGTCCACCACCGGGTACCCGCCCTAAACTTTATGGTTCGGAAGGCACTGCCCCTTACCCACAAAATTTCATAAGGACTCTTGGACGAAGATTGACTGGGAAGAGGTATCGACCAGGGACCAGCTACTTAGCGCTAGGATTAGGCAAATAGCTGAGACACTCGAAGATAGCACCCGAGACACTATAGAAAAACTGAAAGCCCTAATGGGGAAGGAAAAGGAAAGGTGGGATAAAAACCTTCGAGTTAGGCAGAAAGGAATACCCACTGGGAGCCTAGTCTTACCCTACGATTCTGCTTTGGAGAGGACGTGGACAAAGAAATTAGCGAACAGATGGATGAGACCCTATCGCGTGATTAAAAGATTGGACGGTGGGGCTTACCTGCTTGAGGAGTTGAATGGAGCTAGATGGAAGGAACCGGTGTCTGGTGCACGTCTAAAAGTATTTAAAGAGCGAGGGGAGGTTCGCCCGAATATGAAGAAAGACAAGGGAAAGGAGAAGACTAAGGAGAAACCGGTGGAAACTCCTAGAGAGCCCTCGATAGGGCCTATAAAGGGGTTTAAGCCATCCACTTATGAGAAAGGATAATCTCTAAAAAGGGCTACAAAAAGGAGAGGGAACAAAGTCTTAGTTGTTAGAAACAGACGGGTAAAAGACAAAAGGGAAATGAAACGAAAAATCTTAGAGTCACCCGCGTTAAGGCGAGAGAGGAAATGCAAGGTTAAGAAGGTTATTAAAGGCAGGGTCGTATTAGGCAGAGATGGGGATGAACGTCGCGACAAGGAGAGGCGACAAAAGAGCAAGAAACTATTAGGACTCGAAAGGAAGATGATTAAGAAAAAGCGGGACAAGAAAAAGAAACAAAGGACCCAACAAAAGCGGTGAGGACAATGTTGGGGTTGATTGCTAGAGATTAGGAGTCAGCATTTCCTTCTATTTTCCCTTGATATACCGAGATGGCTCGCCGGGGACGTCGAGAATGGGGGGGGGGGGCTGCTGTCGGGCGGCTCCAGCCTCACGCCGCCCTTTACTTCCTCGAGAATAACACTTGACGGGGACTGGAGTCGGTCAGTTTATTTGGTAGGATCGCGACTGACACCAAAGGTACGGTATCAGATTCACGTGACGAGAGTCGAGACCGAGACGTCGAAAAGAAGCGGATCCCTGAGTTCTGGGTGAGCGCCTTTCTTACGCACACTATTAAGACCTATCATTGCCAACATACGAAGGAGTGGCTAGTACAGAGGGAGATCGGAGGCTACGGAAGACGGACGGGGACGAGGAGACCAGGCTTACCTTAAGTGTCGGGGCGAGGGGCAGACAAAAAGGGCTTTGGGCCTTTAAGGCGGGTCCTCAAGGAAACTAATTGGCAATCGGCACCGAGGCTCATCATAGAGGTAGAACAAAGAAGGGATTGTTGCTCAAGCACGCTTGGAGCCTGGGCGCGCGGCCCCAAGAAAACGCCTAAAAAGGCCTGCGGGCCTAAGCCGAGGAAAAAGGGCCATAGATTTACTAATTCCGGGGTTCGGCCTGCGGAATTCTAAAAGGCCCGGTACCTTTCATGTGGGGGCCACGGGAAGACAGGCCCGGACCTAGGTTCGGGAGGAGGCATGGTACCAGGGCGCTGCAAAAAGCCCGGTACCCGATAAAAGGGCCTCTTTTGTTGGAAACCTTTCGAGAACCCAAGCAGGCCCGGGTACAGGCTCGAGGAAGCTACGGTACCGGGGTGCTGCAAAGTTCTCAACTCCAGCAATACACCGGACTGCAGGAGCCTCGTGAAGGTGGGCCCAACAAACTTTATAAGCCCAACTGGGCCCGAGGAAAGGACACTTCTCGCATGTACAGGAGGAGGGAACACGGACTAAGTAGGAGGCGCACTTCAACACGGACGGAGAAGGAGCGATCAGGTTATGCACGGGAGAGGAAAGCGCACGGGCGCGGGCCAAGGGAGCCTACGCACGTTCGGGCAAACGTGCGCGCACGTGCGCACTCCGTGCGCCAAAGGGGCGCAAGAATGCACACGCACGCACTCCATGCGCCAAAGGGACGCCGAACGCATGAGCGTGCAACACCAGGCAGCCCCGCACACCGGTTGGGATACCGCACGCAAGGATGCGCAGCATCGCTCAGCCCCCGCGCGCATGGGCGCGCAGCATCATGCAGCCCCTACACACGGGTCGGGGCCACAGCACGGATGGGCGCGAAACCCTGCACAGTCCCGTGCACCGGTCGGGACGCCGCGCACAGCCCCCGTGCGCAAGTCGAGACACCGTGAGCACGGGCGCGCAGCATCGCGCAGCCTCGCTCACAGGTCGGGGTCACCATGTGGAGGAGCGTGCGGAATCACGCAACCCCTTACGCGGGTCGGAACACCGTGCGCTCGGGCGCGCAACACGGCGCAGCCCCGCGCACTGGTTGGGACGCCTCACGCAAGGGTGCGCAGCACCGTACAGCCCCGCACGCCAGTCAGGGCACCGTGCAGCCCCTCGTGCAGGACGTCGCGTGGGCGGGCGCGTGGCACCGTGCAGGCCCTCGCACCGGTCGGGACGCCACGCGCAGGGGCGCGCAACATCACGTAGCCCTGCGCACCGGTCGAGAGGCCGTGTGCACGGGCGAGTAGCATCGCGCAACCCTGTCCGTGCTTGAACCGGGACTTTCGTAGGGCTGGGGCGTTGGACTGAGCATGGATTTCCGGGGGACCGGACATTGGGCTGAGCCTGGACTTTCGGAGGACCGGGACACTGGACTGAACTGGGACTTCCGCAGGGCCGAGACATTGAGCCGAGCTTGGAATTTCGGAAGATCGAGACAAAGGTCTGAACCTGGACTTTCGCAGGGCCGGGACATTGGACTGAACAGGGACTTTCGCAGGACCGGGACTTGGGACGAGACAAAACCTTTGAGCGGGTGGGACTGAGACTTCGGGCTAGAACAGGACAAGGACGAGGAGGCAGGCCTTGGGATCAGACCAGGACTCTAGGGCCAGACGTCGAGTACGAACCGACCAGGCCTTTGGAACATGAACTAAACGGTACTTCAGGCTGCTCGGGCCCACGGGTCTCGGGCCAATCGGGGCTGGAAGACCAGGTTACTGTGAACTGGAACATCTGGACCGGGACCTTAAGGAAGACTGGGACTTTGAGTCAAGCGGGATTTTCAAGCACGACCCGGGATTTTAACTCGGGTCCTTGAACCAAATTCGAGACTACGCATGGATCGGACTTCGTGCCGGATCGTATCTTCTGTCGTGGAACTCGGGGTCAGTTTGGGATTTTCGCGCCAGGCCATAACCCAGTCGGGGCATACGAGACCAGATTTGAGAACCAGGCCACGTCTTTTATTGACTAAGGACTGGCCAGGGGACTGACGGCGGCACAACGAGGGGGGATACGCGAGTGTGCGAGGTGTATACTTTGAGTCCCTTTTGAGAGGAGAACAGGCGACAAGGCAGACATATGGTGAAGCTGGACCTTGAGCTATGGCCCCAGTGGGCCCGAGAATCTAGCTCTGACACGGAGAGCTCGAGCACAGCCCCTTGGGATCAGCGTGTGCGTTACCGGCGACACCCTATTGGGCGGAGGATTCGCCCCAGATTGTTAGTAAGGTCAATCGGGACTCAAACCAATTTTTCTGACTTGGACACTGGGCCACCCTCTGGAGCTGGAAATAGTGCAGGGAACCCAATTATTTTGGACTAAATGAAATCATTCTTTTTGTTTCTTCCAGACAGTGGAGTGTGAGAGACTTGCTGTTGCATCTATTGTTTGATCCAACCCTTATTGTGTGGATGAGGACTAACTTTTATCTTGCAGGTTACAGGAGCCACGACCGACCCTCCCGTGGGTGACAGTCTGACAGACACGGCGCGAGGTGCAGGGTTCGATCGGTGTGCCGGCAGATAACCTCTACCTCTTGACACCGGTAGGTGCTAGTGGCGCTTTGCCATGTGGCACCTATTGTTTGGAGACGTGGACGACGGGACGTCCTGCGACACGTGTACAGGGGTAGCGCCAGCCGTGGATTGATAAGTGGAACCGTGTGAGTGGCGCAATTAGTTGGGCGAGAGATGGATTCAGTGGGGAAGTTACAACATCGAGCAGAGGGATGGCTCATCACACTGGACAAGTGGTGCAAGCAGCTGCGAACGATAGTGCGAATGATCATGATGCGGTAGGAGGGGGCAGAGATCGATGGGGTGGAGATCTCTATGGAGCAGTGGTTAGCAGACAGGACCCAGGAGATGCCAGGCATCATGTGGGATTTGGAGGAGGGGCCTGAGCCGCCTGATCCCCGGCTTGAGGCCTACATCGACTGGAGAAGGGCGAATGATGGGTGCTTGTAATGCCCTCTTTATAATGGGTCGGAATCTTCCCAACCAGATAGAGGCTCACCAGGGAACGCGAAAGATGGGCGACAAGGGCAACATGGATGACTGGGTGGAGGGTGGATTGGATGAAGGCGAAGATATTTGCGGCGACAACACGGACAGCACCAAGGACAACAACAACGACAGCAATATCAATAACATCGGCATCAACGACACCAACAACAAAAACAACAACAATAACAACAACAACAACAACAACAACAACAACAACAACAACAACAACATCAACAACAACAACAACAACAACAATAACAACAACAACAACAACAACAACAACAACAACAACAACAACAACAACAACAACAACAACGGCGACGACAGCAATGTTGACCACGACAACAGCGGGGCAAACAACAACAACAACAACATCAACAACAACGACAACAACAACAACAACAACAACATCAACAACAACAACAACGACAACGACAACGACAACTGTGACGACCATGGCAGTGGCGGGGAGGAGAGCGATGTCTGTGCATCTGAGTTTATCATCAGCAGGATGAGTGAGATGCCGCGAGCGGATGTGAGCAGCAGGGTTGAGAGTGGCGCATCTCAGACCATCATCAGCATGGTGGGAGATATGCCACAAGCGGACGTGGTGGGGATTGGGGATGACAACATCAACAAGAACGATGAAGGCAGCAGCAATGATGACGGCGGCAGCGATTACCACGGCAGCAGCAGGGCAGAGAGCATCAGCCGGAAGGGAGAAAGGTTGCATGCTGACATGGTGGGGATTGGGGTTGACACGGATAAGAAGCTTACCATCTTCCCCCCCTCCCCCCCCTTCAACCACGTTGTCTGTCTGAAGATAGGAGTAGGATAGTCGCTGTTGATTGGTGTTACCATCTTCCCCCCCCTTCCCCCCCCTTCAACCTCGTTGTCTGGCTGAGGATACGAGTAGGATAATCGATGCTGATTGGTGTTGCCCGACCCGCAATATTAATCAACAATGGGGTGCTGATTGCCCCGTGGGAGGGAGGTGGGATGCTTAGGGAGTAGTTTGCAGGTGGTCAATCCTTCCCTTGTGCAGGGAAGTAATCAATGCCCCTGCTCTCCTTTGGACAATAGGTATAGGGACTCGAGGTCCAGAACATACATATTACATAATTGATAGTGATTCCTGTTAATATCCTGATTGATACAGATCATACACATCACATCACATCTTTTTTAGAGTTTCGTGTTTAGATTTTGATAGATATTGAACACATACATCACAAACATCACACATATTTTACATCTTCGTTAGGATTTCGCTTCTGACATATATTGCTTAACGTGCATACATAGGTAGATGGAGCTGTCAACACAACTCTGCATTGGGACGCTGGACCCGGTTTCCAGCAGATACATTCACGTCACTATACAGGGAAGCTGGACCCGATTTTCAGCAGATACATTCTCATCATTGTATAGGGACGCTGGACCAGATTTCCAGCAGGTGTAGCTCCCCACCAATAGATGGAGCCTTCGACGCCGAGTTCTACTTACCGGGGATGCTCTTATCACCTCGTTAAGTAGGCTTCCTGTATACGAAGTTTCAAAAAAATAAATAAACAAGGGAGGAGAAAGATAAACAAACCATTCACGACACCTTCCTCCAAATATGGCAGGATCCGCTCCATAAATTCTCTGAACTGGATGCCGGCCTCAACATTCACTGGAAGCCGTGGAGGGCAACAGAGCTGGCATGGCAAGGAAGACCGTACCACTGCTTTCAAGTCCCCTATCAGCCAACCAACTTCGTCCTCATAACAGGCCATCCGCCTGGCCCCTAGTCGCCCTTTCAAGCTCACCCTTTTTGAGCTGCCCCCTCTACAATACCATGTGCACACACCCTCCCTCCCTGTGTGTTGTTATTTCACCCTACATCCACCCCCCATCAACCCCCACACCCACCCCCCCCTCTCTATCTGGCGGCGGCAGAAAGGGACCAAGCGAGGCAGAAACTCAGAGCTCACGGCGACAGCGCAGTCTGAGTGATACACTGCAGAATGATTCCCCGAAGTGGAATAGCCCCCTCTTGAGGGAGGATTGCTGAGAAGGCCAGCACGGAGGTTGCTGCTTCCGAACACAACAGAAGAAGAGACGCAGCGAGCTAAGAGTGATATGACCTCAAAAAAAAAGAGTGCTACAAGCGAGGGGAGAAGACGAGGGACTATTTCATCAGGCCAGCTGTAATGGCACCCACAACGTCTAGCGACAGATTTCCTTTCTGTTGCAACCTCTGATGTTCGTCTTTAGGGTGGTGAGGTACAGGGCTAACACTTGCAACCCTGGGGTGCTAACGGCCAATTGCGAATCAGGATCATTGTGTGTGCCTCCCTGTCAAAGGGTACACCAGCCACGGAGACACAAGATCCGCTAACATATGACATAACCATGTGTTCTGCATACAACTCAAGTAACTCATTCGTTTGAGGCTCCTGTATATGATGTCAAGGGACGCTGGACCCGGTTTCCAGCAGGTGCAGCTCCCCACCAATGGAACAGACCCATCCAATTATGGGAGTGTAGAGGGAGTGTCTGCTGTTATCAGCACTTCCTCTACTCCCTGCTGCCGATGTTTGCAAAAAAACACAAACAAACAAAAAAAAAAAAAAAAAAAAAAAGGAGCGCCAGAACCGGTAAGTTTCCCTAGGGACCGCCCCCTGGTACTATTCCGACCACGTCGGAACTAACGGCTACCACGGGAGGTTGTGATATCCTGGTGACGGTATTTCATTACGCCTATCCCTAGTCTAGCCCCTCATTCAAGACTTCAAGGCTCCCATCTGTTCACATTCCAGCCACCCAGAAACCAGTAACGTTCCCAGGAGACCATCCCAGGTACTATTCTCAATCAGCTAATGGGCACACTGGCGCACGGCGGAGGAACTGCCACCCTACCCATCCTCACGTCAATTCTCCTAGCCTATCCCCTACAACTTCTATCCTACCTCAATGACCAGCACTCAGGACAATCACCCTCAGGATGATATTGACCGAACAGTAGTTACAGGCATCAGACTGGAGAGTAACCCCACCAGTCCCAGTGGAAGAGCAGCCGTGCAAGCCTTGTTACCCAAGGACTTCGGCTGCCAGGCACACCCAATATCTCTACCAGTCCCACCGACGAACCAGGTCCCAAGTAGGTGTTACATATGAGCTAGTGCGAACCCCCGGTGGCCCGTACAACCTCACCCATGAGAACCACTACCAAGGATCGGTCTCCCCCCCCCAGAAGTGTATATATATCGTCAAATAGAACTGCCCGGTAAACCGTATATATATATATATATATATATATATATATATATATATATATATATGGATGTATCCTACAGGACTCGATACTATGACTGTAAGTGGAAGTGAGATGCCCAAAGCCATTCATTTTTTATGTATGCCCGCAGGCAGCATATGGTATTATTGAGTGACCGTGTAATCATGTGAAGTGGATGTACACATGTGCGGGAACACAAAACCAGACTTGGTACCAAGACCTATTCTGTGTGATTGTGATAGACTACTGATTACCGGCGGAAGAGATCAACAGTGAGACCATTAGCCAGCATCCTCAAGAGCCCACGAAGGCAGAATCCAGCATACAACAACCAGGACTGAGAACCCTTGGGTGGTGCGCAGGCAGTGTCTGTATAAGCTTACCGTGCGTCAGCCCAAGGGTGTGTGTGTGTCCAGCCGTGCGTCATTCTAACGCCCTGCCGGTGTCCATGCGCAAGGCTGCAATTAAGTTTTGAACCCGCAACCTCATACCACAGTGCGCATTTCCAACCGGTGCTCTAATTACTGAGCTACATCAACTGGACCATCTGTAGGCCACTTAAAGATGGGAATACCCACTACACCCAGTCCCACTGCCGACTTGCACCTATACCCAGAAAACCACCTGTGGAAATTATTGGCATGCCCAGGACTGAGGTGGGCCCAGGTTGGCTCCACAAAATTGCAGTTCTCACCAACTACCAGAGTGCCCAAATTATGGACATACCGAGGCACAATTATGTGCATATCTCGGATGAGGTGTACCAGCCAAATTATTCATATACCCTAGTACTCAGTGGCTGAAATCATGCTCATACCCGTGAGCCGGTGAGCCACAAAGGTCCACATGGTGGGCTTGAGCATAATTTTGTGGTCCACCATCGAAGGCCTGCCCCTGGGAATGGTTGCACCCCCAATTTTGCCAGTTTGTTCCTGGGCATGAGTATAATTTCATGGTCTGCAACCGAGGGACTGCAGGACTGGGTATGCGTACAATTTCGTGCCCGGAAAAAGTCGGGTACTATGCAAAGTTGAATGGGGTCCGGGTATAGAGGCAAGTTAGGTGCCGGGACTGGGTATAGCAGGTACTCCCATCTTTAAGTGGGGTATAGATGCAATTTTTCCTTGAAAAAAAGGCTTAGGGCCCTTTTCTGCGTGTGGGCAAGATCAAGGACCCAGCAGAGATCACAGGCAAGTGGGGCCTACGCGAAGTAAATTAACCCTTAAAGGGGCTAGTAGACATCACATCAGTTATTGGCAGGCCCCACTGGTGCAGTGGACAGCACGGACCTGGGCGTAATCATGGCTAGGTTTGTGCTTTGTACGCACGAGCATAGTAGCATCCTGGCGCACGAGCATAGTAGCATCCTGGGGCCTGCCCCCTACAGATAAACAGTACAGAACCATACGAGAAGAAGAAAGAAAATAATCTCGGATATCTTGTACCTATTGCCTGAAGTCCTGTCCAGGGGCTATAGAGTCATGCAGATCAACGGCCAAAACCTCTTAAGGCGTGCAAGTAGAACCTTGCCCAGCACCTGCATAGAAGACAAGTGTCACTGATCATTTCGTTTTCTACCTGTGGAAAAGTGGTCATTTTTGCCGTACATCTACCCTGACTGTATCCCTAAATAACATATCATGACCTAGGGCATATTCAATCTAGCACTTTCCTAAATGTATCTGACTGCAATTACGTCCAGACCTGAATGCATCTGACTGCAATCACAGTCGGAGCCGAGTCCAGAAAATCCTCTTGTGAGAATGCCCTTAGGTTACTCTGAGGGCTTCTATTCAGGAGAAGAAACATGGAGATGCAAATTTGGAATCGAACGTTTTGCGTTTTGCATTGCTTCTCATATTCTGGGAAAATGCTTGCACCACTTTAAAAAAAAAAAAAAATAATAATAATAAATGCTTGCACCACGGAAATTGCCACAGGGACTTGGGTAGATTGTAACGAAAAATTCATTGACAAGCCATTATAGGCTATATATTAAAAAAACAAAAAAAGGCCAAGACTGTCAGGTCCTTATTCTGTCTGCAAAACCAACAAATTTCCTTCCTTTTCTGCAGTAAAGCGAAACCAACCAATATCCAGGCTCCACCCAGGTGCATGATTGTCTGCCTTGTGCTTTGTTACTTTCAGCCAGGAGCAAGGTCCCACTTACCTAGCTCTGTTGTTTCTTTTTTTTTCTTTTTTTCCTGACCACGGATCACGGAGATTTTTTTATTCTCAAAAGAGTGCGACAGTCTTGAGATGTATCATAGAGATCAATGATCAGAAGGATAGAATCCACGTAAGCGTAACTTTGCCCCAGGCGTGGAACTGTAACCATGTGATGACAATTGTCATCATGACTGGAATCTTGAGTTGCTCTGAGCTGGTCCCGTCTTTCTTTTCCTTTTTTCCTTCCTTCCTGATCTTGTTGTCAGGCTCATTCACAGTGTCAGCCAGTCACACAGACAATTACAAGAGAGAGAGAGAGAGAGAGAGAGAGAGAGAGAGAGAGAGAGAGAGAGAGAGAGAGAGAGAGAGAGAGAGAGAGAGACATCCACTCATGTACCTGTCTCTTATACACATCTAGATGTGTATAAGAGACAGCCCCTTCCCCCCCCTTCAACCTCGTTGTCTGGCTGAGGATACGAGTAGGATAATCGATGCTGATTGGTGTTGCCCGACCCGCAATATTAATCAACAATGGGGTGCTGATTGCCCCGTGGGAGGGAGGTGGGATGCTTAGGGAGTAGTTTGCAGGTGGTCAATCCTTCCCTTGNATCCACTCATGTAC